TATGGGTGTGCCAGTCCTGGGGCTTGAATGCAGGGCCTGGGCACTGTCTCTGAGCTTCTTTTTTGCTCAAGGCTAGCACTCTACCACTTGAACCTCAATGCCACTTGTTTTTTTCTGCTTATGTGGTACTGAGGAATTGAATCCAGGGCTTTATGCATGCCAGGCAAGCACTTTACCATTCAGCCACATTCCCAGCCCCTGCATACATTTTGGTAAGTAATTCTCCTTCCTCTTCTGCAGTATAGTGTGAATTTTTTCACATCTAGTCTCATAAGAAAGGGAGAAGGGTGAAGACCAATACCTGGGAATGAGTACAAATAGCTTTCTGTACTCCCTTGTTCTTTCCTTTGTCTTTTTTATTATCCTGTGAAGCTTCCCAGTGCAGGGTTTTATGCTGTTGTTTTGTTTTAGAAATACTAACTCCTGATCATAGTCTTCAATTTCTTAGTTTGCCCTTAAATTTAATATATCTGATTAGAATTTCAAGACACAGAATATATCTTTCAGGAACTATTTTCAGTATAATTTAGAGTTCAGGAGATCATCAGGGAAGAAGGGATGCTAATAAAATAGCTCAAGGTATTTAAAACAACATGTTCCCATTTTCTTTTAGTCAGACTGGTAGAAATGCAAGGAATGGAAATTGTCTGATGTTTTTCTCACTTCTCATTTGTTTTGGACCACAGGCTCCATTCTGATTTAGGAGTGTTTCCTGCTCAGCATTTCAGTGATAATTCTCCCCATGGTCTACAGGATCCCTGTTCTCCTTGTTTCTATAGCAACAGTCCTGTGTTGCTTGGCTAGAAGCAATTTTCTGCTGCTGTGGTGAAGCCCTATTTTTTCATTCCTTTCTCTCCCGTTGCCTTGGTAACCAGCCTCTTCTTCTTCTTGTTTTTTGGTGGTAAATCTACCCCCCCCTTTTTTTTTTCTCTTTCTAGTAACAGTCACCTGGTCATGACTTGGACAGTACTATTCCACCTGTGAGTAAGCATACTCTGTCATTGTCAGACTGTCATGAAATCAGCCTCCCCTTTCCTTTCTTTGCATCATTTCTCTAGCCTGCCATCTCTCTGGTGGTTGCCAGGGTAGCAATACCCTCTGAAAGTCTCCAGGCAAAGGCTCTACAGCTAACAACCATCATGTGAGAGTGTCTGCCAGTATGTGGCTACACATCTCCATTTTAAACCTAGCCTCAGGCGGGTACACAAATTAGAGAGAAGAGAGCTTTTCATCAGAGAAGACTGGGTTGAGAGAAGGCGGTACCAAGGACCAAGAACTGATGTTCTCCAAACAATATATGTGGCTATAAGGTTCAGGCTGAGTCTGTAAGAGTAGTTATGTCTGAGGAGATTCAAGTGATTGACTAATATATTGGCAGTACTTCTAGGTAGGCAGCGATATTATATGCTATATGCTTCCAGAACTCAGTCCTTTGACACAAGGAATTATTCTGGTCTAACCTAGGCAGAGGCAATCTTAGGGAAATAGCAGTTAGAATCTTTATATCTTCTTTTTTTTTTTTTTTCTGGTACTGGGTCTTGAACTCAGGATCTTACCCTCTCTCTCAGCTTGCTTGCTGGGTCATAGCTTGGAGTCATGCCTCCAAGTCTGGCAATTTTCTAGTTAATTGGAGGAGCTGGGTGGTGTGTGTGTGTGTGTGTGTGTGTGTGTGTGTGTGTGTGTGTGTGTGTGTGTGTGTGTGTGTGTGTGTGTGTGTGTATAGTGGAAGTGGCTCATCCTTGTAATACTAGCTAGTCTAGAGGCTAAGATCTAAGCATCATGATTTGAAGCAATAAAATTCAAGAGACTCTTGTCTCCAATTAAACAGCAAAAATTTGAAGCAGAAGTGTGCCTGCCTTAAGTGAAAAGCTAAGGTATAGTGCTGAGGCTCTGAGTTCAAACCCCAGTACTGGCATGCACAAAAGAAAATTGAAGGAGTTTTTATTTTTATTTTTGTTAGTCTTGGGGCTTGAACTTGGCCTGGGAATTGTCCCTGACCTCTTTTGTTGAAGGCAGCACTCTACCACTCTAAGCCACAGCACCACTTCTGATTTCTTGGTGGTTAATTGGAGATAAAAGTCTCACACGGACTTTTCTGCCCAGGCTGGCTTTAAACCAGGACCCTCAGCTCTCAGCCTCCTGAGTAGCTAGGATTACAAGTGTGCAACCTGGACCCTGCTGTAGGAGTCTTATTAATTAATTAATTTTTGCCTGGGCTGGCTTTAAACCTTGATCTTAGTTTTCTAAGTAGTTAAGATTACAAAGGTGAGCCATTAGCACCCCACTAAAAAGTGTGTGTGTGTGCTAGGAATTAAACTCAGAGCCCTATATATGGGGGCAAATGTTCTGCCACTCCAGAAATCAAATTGGCTAACAAAAAGTTGGTCAAATAGGTGTCCAGGTACTTTTTATGCACATTTCTCTGCTCTTTGGCTGCTGCATTTACCTCTTGAGGGAAGCAGATGGAATATTATTATTATAATAATACAAAATATTCAACAAATTGTGGTTGTTATGTGCCAGGCATTTTCCAGACACTTTTTTCATTATTTTATTTTCTCTTTATGGCAACCCTGAGAAGAATGTAATGACAAGAATACAGAAGTTGAGAGGTGAATTAGAGGCTTGGAATGTAATCTAGTCATGGAGCCTATGACTAGTTCTGGGAAGTCCTATCTCCCCCAATAAAAGAAAAAAAGTCGGGGGCTGGGAAGGTGGCTCAGTGGTAGAGCTCTTGCCTTGCATGTTCGAGGCCCTGGGTTCGATTCCTCAGCACCACATAAGCAAAAAGAAAAAAGCCGGAAGTGGCGCTGTGGCTCAAGTGGTAGAGCGCTAGCCTTGAGCTGAAGAGCTGAGGGACAGCGCCCAGGCCCAGAGTTCAGGCCCCATGACCGGACCCAAAAAAAAAAAAATAAAAAAATAAAGGAAAAAAAGTGAGTTTAATAAAAAGTCACACAACATATAAGTTAAAAGAGTTGGGATTTGAACTGAAGTTCACTGTATTTCTTTCTTTTTTTCTTTCTTTTTTCCCCCCAGTCCTGAGGTTTGAACTCAGGGCCTGGGTGCTATCCCTAAGCCTCTTTGTGCTCAAAACCAGTGCTCTACCACTTGAATCACAGTATCACTTTGACTTTTTCTGAGTAGTTTATTGGAGATAAGAATCTCATGGATTTTTCTGCCTGGGCTAGCTTCTAATGTCAATCCTCAGATCTCAGCCTCCTGAGTAAGTAGGATTACAGGCATGAGCCACTGAGCTGGCTTGAAATTCATCTTATTCTAAAGTCTTTTTTTTTTTTTGATGTTCCTTTTTTAGTTTTGGTGCTGGTACTGGGGCTTACACAGAGCCTAAGCTGGCTCTAGTAGCTTTTCCCCCTACTTTTCAAAGCTGGTCCTCTAACACTGAGCCATATCTTTACTTCCAGTGTTTTTACTGGTCAGTTGAAGAGTCTCAGAGTTTTCTGCCCTGGCTGGCTTCAAACTGAGATCCTGAGTAGTTAGCATTACAGGAATAAGCCACTGACACCTAGCTGTTTTTTTTTTTTTTTTTTTTTTGGGTCCGGTCATGGGGCCTGAACTCTGGGCCTGGGTGCTGTCCCTCAACTCTTCAGCTCAAGGCTAGCGCTCTACCACTTGAGCCATAGCACCACTTCTGGCTTTTTTCTTTTTGCTTATGTGGTGCTGAGGAATCGAACCCAGGGCCTCAGGCATGCAAGGCAAGTGCTCTACCACTGAGCCACCTTCCCAGCCCCTAGCTGTTTTTGTTTTGAGACAGGATTTCATTATGTAGTTAGTCCATGATGGCTGGCCTCAAATTCATAAAAATCATGTTTCAGACATTTGAGTGCTGAGATTGCAGGAATGTACCATAAAGCCAGTTTATAGTTTGTTGTTTTCTTTGGGTTCTGCGGACTGAACCTCAGAACCTTATGGATATGAGGCAAATGCTCTACCACTGATCTACAACCCAGTTCAGAAAACCTTTTTTTTTTTTTTTTTTTAACAGGTCTTAGGGCTTCCAGTAGGCCTGGGCACTGTAGCTGAGCTTTTTTTGCCCAAGGCTAGTGCTCTATCATTTGAGCCACAGTTTCACTTTGGCTTTTTGGTGGTTAATTGGAGATAAGTCTCAGGGATTTTCCTGCCAGATCTGGCTTTGAACTACTATCCTCAGTTTTCATTCTCCTAGGCATGAGCCACTAGTAAGGGCTTTCCCAAAACTGTTTTTGAAACGGAAGTGTGCAAACTCTTAAACCTTGGTCCGTATGGTCCTAAGTTTTCCCATTCTCACTGGAATCTAAGGATTGTCAGTGCTTTATCCTTTCTGCATTCCTTTCATTTCCTTTTCTAGTTTTCTGAATTGTTGTTTACTTGCTTGTTTTTCTGTTCTCTCATCATATCTTTTGTATCCTTTGGCCAAGAGGATGGAAAATTTTGTCCTACCTTCTGATTGCATCTGAGGTTGGGAAGTGAAAACATTTAGAGCAGCCGCCCTTGTGTGAGAACTGAGCAGGTCTAGTTGTGGAGAATGTCACGCCTTTTACCTCCTTACCTTCAGCACCAAACAGGCAAGTCATTCTCTCCTCCATTTAATGATTGAGGTGGGGTGAAGGGGAGAGGGAGGAGTCTATTCTGTAACAGAACTGTGCTTGCTAGGCAGAAGAGATACAGCAATAACCTAAACAGAATTTGTCCTTTGTCTTTAAAGTCAGACAATAAAATACACCAGAGGCTAATAGACAATAGTAATATAAAAGAATGGGGTGTCTTAAAGAAAAATTGCACAGATCTACTTGGATGGAGCTGCCATTCCTCTTTTAAGAGAGCAGGTAGTTGAAGTTCAGATACTAGCAGCTAGTTTAGGGCAGTCTTCTAGTGACCCTCGATAGTCTAGGCACCTTTGTCTCCAAGCTCCCTCCTCCCTAGGGCTTTCCCTGGAGAACCCGAATTCCGCGCAGGCGCACTGACTGTTGCCATGGTGACAGAGGCTCCGGCGCAGGCGCAGGGGAAACCAAGATGGCGGCAGCGGCTGCGGCTGCACGAGCGCTTCCTGTGGGCTCTGGGCTCCAGGGTCTGCAACGCGCGCTGCCGCTTGTAGTGATTCTCGGGGCCACCGGCACTGGCAAGTCCACTCTGGCCCTGCAGCTAGGCCAGCGGCTCGGTGGCGAGATCGTCAGCGCTGATTCCATGCAGGTATGGCCCTGTGGCTGGCCCCGGGCTTGGGAACCTGGGAAGGCGCTTGCAGGCCTTGGGGGAGTGGACACCGGCTCGCGTGGTCGTGGGGAGTGACCTCCGAGCTTCTGCCAGCCGAGGAGGTTGGTGAAGAGAGCCCACTAGGCCCACATGTGCCGAACCTTTCTCCTTTGGTCATCTGATTCACTTCCCACGATGTTACTCTAACTCTCGATACTATTGTGATCTCCACTTAGGGGGTTGACATTGGAGCCTGGACAAATGAAACGGCTCTCCCCTTGTCACATAGCGCGTAAGTGGAGGAAATGGTGTTTCACCTTATGAAGTTGACTCTCCTAGTAAATATCTTTTCAAGTGGCAGTTACTCCAGAGCTTTTTGCTGTAATTCTCACCCTAATACGCTGAGATCAGAATAAGTAAAATGCACCTTTCAGTGTGTACTGGGGCAGTGGAACTGGTCGGTCAGTCAGAAGACTTGTATTCTAGTCAGATTCTACCATTGGCCACGTGGCTTGGGATTCACAGTGTCTTTTATTTGGGTGTTATTTGTGAAGTGGCTGGAGTGATTAATAAAGAGATCATGAGTGCTACAGTGAAGAGCAGGATGACCTTCCCGAAAAAGGCCAGAGGTATGATAAATACAGAATTAAGATTTTTAATCCTGTGGCTGAGCTAAGGGAGAAGGTTGTTTCCTTCTCTAAGCTGGGAAGCAAGGAATATAGTTTTTCATGTGGGAGCATTTGTGCTTGATTGAGAATGGGTGAATGAATCTAGCAGAGGAATTATAACAACTATTTGCTGGAGAGAATTTGCAGTATGAATGTACGTCGTGTAAATAAGATGTTGGACATGAAATGTCTATCTGTAAACCGAGCATCAGAAAGGTCCATTCTTCTCATTCCACCCCTGAGTCTCCTGGCCTGGTTTCTACCCCAATTGGTTCACTTGGGGTGACAAGAACATCAGCACACATGAAATGATAAGGTAATTCCACAAACATTTGTTTATAACGTATTTGCTGCTAACTTTAGGAGACAGAATTTAGCTCAAATCCCAGCCTTTTACAACTTCAGCCTAACATCTCTGTGGCTTTATTTTATTCTTCTGAAAAATAGGAGGGACAAGAGCAATAACACAACATTATTGTGGTTAAATGAGATAACACTATGTGAAACAGCAAGTACAATTTATAGCACACAGAACTAAAAATATGGTGATTATTTTCTGCAAGATCCTATTGCAGAGATAAGACCATAATCCCTGTATTTAAGGAGTTTAGTCTGGTTAGAAGTGAAACATGGCAGAGTAAGTATTTATGGTGCTTTGCAAGGTGGACAGGATTGGGAGAGGAGAAAAACTGTAAATAGGTTTTATGGTAAGCTGTTAAATATACAGTTTCTTTTCTTTCTTGCTTTCTTTCCTTCCTTGCTTTCTTTCCTTCCCTTCTTTCCTTCCTTCCTTTCTTCCTTCCTCTCTCTCTCTCTTTCTTTCTTTCTTTCTTTCTCTCTTTCTTCCTTTCCTTTCTTTCTTTCCTTTCTTTCTTTCTTTCTTTCTTTCTTCTTTCTTTCTCTCTCTCTTTCTTTCTTTCTTTCTTTCTTTCTTTCTTTCTTTCTTTCTTTCTTTCTTTCTTTCTTTCTTTCTTTCTTTCTTTCTTTCTTTCTTTCTTTCTTTCTTTCTCTTTCTTTCTTTCTTTCTTTCTTTCTTTCTTTCTTTCTTTCTTTCTTTCTTTCTTTCTTTCTTTCTTTCTTTCTTTCTTTCTTTCTTTCTTTCTTTCTTTCTTTCTTTCTTTCTTTCTTTCTTTCTTTCTTTCTTTCTTTCTTTCTTTCTTTCTTTCTTTCTTTCTTTCTTTCTTTCTTTCTTTCTTTCTTTCTTTCTTTCTTTCTTTCTTTCTTTCTTTCTTTCTTTCTTTCTTTCTTTCTTTCTTTCTTTCTTTCTTTCTTTCTTTCTTTCTTTCTTTCTTTCTTTCTTTCTTTCTTTCTTTGTCCTGGGGCTTGAATTCAGGTTGGAGGCACTGTTCCTGAGCATTCTCAAGGGTAGTGCTTTACCATTTTGAGCCACAGCTCAACTTCTGGCTTTTGGTGGTTAATTGGAGATAAGAGTCTCACAGATTTTCCTTCCTGGGCTGGCTTTGAACTACAATTCTCAGACCTTAGCCTCCTGAGTAGCTAGGATTACAGGTGTGAGCCACTAGCACTTGGCTTAAATATACTTTCTGAGAAGGAAGAAATCTGTGAAGGTTGGCATGGTTATGGAAAACTCTCTAAAACAGGGCTTGAAAAATAGATCAAGGGCTGGGAAGGTGGCTTAGTGGTAGAGTACTTGCCTAGCATGCATGAAGCCCTGAGTTCAGTTCCTTAGTACCACATAAACAGAAAAAGCCAGAAGTGGTGCCATGGTTCAAGTGGTAGAGTGCTAGCCTTGAGCAAAAAAGAAGCTCAGGGACAGTGCCCAGGTTCTGAGTTCAAGCCAGGACTGGCAAAAAAAAGGAAAATAGATCAAGCTTGGATAATAAGAAAGAAAACAAAGCATACTAAAGGAAGGAACATGAATGAAGATTTTAGAAAGTAAATAGTCATAGTGAATATGTGAGACGGTAAAGACTTTCCATAGGGAGGTATGGACCAGGAGATGAGTAGTATGAGAAAGGTAACATGGCAAAACATTAGTCTATAAGCAGTGTGTGATGAATTGGACTGGTAGGATGGGGCATATAAAATTTTTGTGTGTTGGGCTGGGAAGGTGGCTCAGCGGTAGGGTGCTTGCCTGCATGCATGAGGGCCTGGGTTCGATTCCTCAGCACCACATAAGCAGAAAAAGCCAGAAGTGGCGCTGTGGCTCCAGTGGTAGAGCGTTAGCCTTAAGCTGAAGAGCTGAGGGACAGCGCCCAGACTCAGAGTTCAGGCCCCATAACCGGCAAAAAAAGAAAAAAGAAAAAAAAAACTTTTGTGTGGTATAATTATAAATCTGACACATCAGAGTCTCATATCAGTGGATCGTGCCTGTAATCCTAACTACTCTGGAGGCTGTGATCTGAGGGTTACAGTTAGAAGCCAGGCAGGGTGGGAAAGTCTGTGAGACACTTGATTTCAAATTAGCTAGCAAAAAACAGAAGTGGTGCAATGTCTCAAGTGGTATTGCACTATCCTTGAGCTAAAGAAGCTCAGGGACAGAATTTAGGCCCTGAGGGCTGGGAAGGTGGCTCAGTGGTAGAGTGCTTGCCTTGCATGCCTGAGGCCCTGGGTTCGATTCCTCAGCACCACATAAGCAAAAAGAAAAAAGCTGGAAGTGGTGCTGTGGCTCAAGTGGTAGAGCGCTAGTCTTGAGCTGAAGAGCTGAGGGACAGTGCCCAGGCTCCGAGTTCAGCTCCCACAACCGGACCTCCCCCCCAAAGAAAAAAGAATTTAGGCTCTGAATTTAGACATACAAAAAAACAAATAAAAACAAAAAATGTATGTTTGCTTTTTTTTTTTTGCGCACGTGGGGGGGGGGGGGCGCGGGGTGTTGGTGGGGGGAGATGGTACTTAGGTTTTAATTTGGTGTCTCACACTTGTTAGGCAGGTATTCTAACACTTGAGTCATGTCCTCAGCCCCTACATAGGTTTGTTTTAATCTTTATAATAACTTTAAAAGTGGGCTGAGAAGGTGGCTCAGTGGTAGAGCGCTTGCCTTGCATGCCTGAGGCCCTGGGTTCGATTCCTCAGCACCACATAAGCAAAAAGAAAAAAGCCGGAAGTGGTGCTGTGGCTCAAGTGGTAGAGCGCTAGCCTTGAGCTGAAGAGCTGAGGGATAGCACCCAGGCCCAGAGTTCAGGCCCCCACAAACCGACCAAAAAAACCCCAAAAACTTTAAAATAAAAGTAAGTATCATTCTGCTCAAGTGGTAGAACACCAACTAAAATACAAGGTCCTAAGTTTAAGCCCCAGTATCAGCACAAGACAAAGCAAAAAAAACACACAACCAGGGGCTGGGAAGGTGGCTCAATGGAAGAGTGCTTGCCTTGCATGCATGAGGCCCTGGGTTCCATTCTTCAGCACCACATAAGCAGAAAAAGCCAGAAGTGGGGCTGAGGCTCAAGTGGTAGAGCACTAGTCGACAGCTGAAGAGCTGAGGGACAATGCCCAGACTCAGAGTTCAGGCCCCACGACCGACCAAAAACCAACAAAAAAACCCACAACCAAAGGGGCTGGGAAAGTGGCTCAGTGGTAGAGTGCTTGCCTCCCATGCATGAGGCCCACATAAGCAGAAAAACCAGAAGTGGCGCTGTGGCTCAAGTGATAGAGTGCTAGTCTTGAGCTGAAGAGTGCCCAGGCCCAGAGTTCAGGCCCCACAACAAAAAAAAAAACAAAACAAACAAACAAAAAACAACCAAAACCCCCACAAAACCTCACTTTGAATTCCCTGCTTCATCTAAGGAAATATGCCTAAGTAGTGATAAAGCATTGGGCATGGAAAGTAGAGACTTTTGTTCAACTCCAGATCTGCTGCTTACTCTGAAATCTTGGGCCTGTTAACTGTGAAATAATGGTATCTACTTTTTTGAACTCAGGGTGTTGTACTTGCTCTGTTTGCTTGCTCACTAAGTTGGCACTCTTTGTCATTTAAAGCTATTATGCCTCAAGTCCTGCTTTTTGCTAGTAATTGTGGAGATGCAGACTCAGACTTTTCTAGCTGGCTAGTTACAACCCATCATTCTTCAGATCTCAGCTTCCTGAATATGAGCCACCATTGCCTGGCTAGACGGAATAGGTTCATGCATGCATTCATCTTTCATAGGAGTATGCTACACTTTGATCAGGATATAAAAGGTATTTTATATGGGGTGAATTGTTACTGTGAATTCACTACAGTATCTGTCAGGTGGAGCTGACTGGTGAGGCAGGATAAATGTTCAGAAGGATAAAATGACTACAGTTGCAAGAGATAATTGTGTGTGTGTTTTGTGTGTGTGTGTGTGTTGGTTTCCTATACTAGGATTTGAACTCCCAAGTTTTGAACTTGCT